ATTCTGATGCAATACAAGCAAGATTTTTACAGAGTAGCCATTATGAAAGAAAAAAAAAAAAACAAAGCAAATTGGCCTTTCAGGATTAGAACTGTACAGGCAACACAATCAAGATGAGTTTCTGTGTTTTGGAAAGTGACATGGACCCCTTCTGCTGAGGGGACAGATACTAATTTCCTCCAAATTGAGTGTGAGTGCAATTTTGAGGTGAATTCAATCAGAATTCCAAAGTCAGTCTGATTAATGGTGGGATGAATCCTGAAACAGCCAGTTTCCTTGTGTCTAAATCCAGCCAAATACCACAAAGGACTCTTGAATTTCTTTGGCTTTCTCAGATTTCCCTTATTTATCGTGGTTTGTAATGAATTTTCTGATGTGAGCTTTGGTTTTGAGGCTGGCATATTGAGTTCAGTGCACAAGAGGAAGGTTCTTTTTCAATCAGGGCACAGCTGTTGGCTTGCTCCAATTCTGTCTTGCTGTCATTGTTCTGCATGCCTCAGCTTACTTTTGGTTTCTTGAGCAGTAATTTCCTAAATATTTTCTGGGTCTGAGTTGGTTTTGCCTTCTTCCTTCCCAAATTTTGTATTCTGATGCAATACAAACAAGAGTTTGGACAGAGTAGCTATTATGAAATAAAACGTACAACAAATAGGCGTTTGAAGCTCAGAAATCTACAGGTAACACGACCAAGGTGAGTTTTTGTGTTTTGGAAAAGAAAATGGAACACTTTGGCTGAGGTGACAGATAGTAATTGCCTCCAAACTGAGTTTCACTGCAATTTTCAGGTTAATTCAGTCGGAATTCCACAGGCAGTCAGCTGGAGGGGTGGATGCATCCGGGAACATCTGGTTTCCTTGTGACTAAATCAAGCCCAATATCATTATGGATTCTTGCATTGCTTTGGATTTTTCTCATTTTTCTTTTGTATCATGGTTTGTAATGAATTTTCTGATGTGAGCTTTGGTTTTGAGGCTGGCATATTGAGTTCAGGGCACAAGAGGATGGTTCTATTTCAAACAGGGCACAGCTGTTGGCTTGCTCCAATTCTGGCTTGCTGTCATTGTTTTGGGTGCCTCAGCTGATTTTGGTTTCTTGAGCGGCAATTTCCTAAATGTTTTATGGGTCTGAGTTGGTTTTGCCTTCTTCCTTCCCAAATTTTGTATTCTGAGGCAATACAAACAAGAGTTTTGACAGAGTAGCCATTATGAAATAAAAAACACAACAAATAGGCGTTTGAAGCTTATACATCTACAGGTAACAAGACCAAGTGACTTTTTGTGTTTTGGAAAATAAAGTGGAACACTTTGGCTGAGGTGACAGATAGTAATTGCCTCCAAACTGATTGTCACTGCGATTTTCAGGTTAATTCAGTCAGAATTCCACAGGCAGTCAGCTGGAGGGGGGGATGAATCTTGGACGAGCCGATTTCCATGCGACTAAATCAAGCCCAATATCATTATGGATTCTTGCATTTCTTTGGCTTTTTCTCATTTTTCTTATTTATCATGGTTTGTAATGAATTTTCTGATGTGAGCTTTGGTTTTAAGCTGGCATATTGAGTTCAGGGCACAAGAGGAGGGTTGTTTTTCAATCAGGGCACAGCTGTTGGGTTGCTCCAATTCTGGCTTGCTGTCATTGTTTTGGGTGCCTCAGCTGATTTGTGGATTCTTGAGTGGCAATATCCTAAATGTTTTCTGGGTCTGAGTTACTTTTGCCTTCTTATTCCCAAATTTTGTATTCTGATGCAATACAAGCAAGATTTTTACAGAGTAGCCATTATGAAAGAAAAAAAAAAAACAAAGCAAATTGGCCTTTCAGGATTAGAACTGTACAGGCAACACAATCAAGATGAGTTTCTGTGTTTTGGAAAGTGACATGGACCCCTTCTGCTGAGGGGACAGATACTAATTTCCTCCAAATTGAGTGTGAGTGCAATTTTGAGGTGAATTCAATCAGAATTCCAAAGTCAGTCTGATTAATGGTGGGATGAATCCTGAAACAGCCAGTTTCCTTGTGTCTAAATCCAGCCAAATACCACAAAGGACTCTTGAATTTCTTTGGCTTTCTCAGATTTCCCTTATTTATCGTGGTTTGTAATGAATTTTCTGATGTGAGCTTTGGTTTTGAGGCTGGCATATTGAGTTCAGTGCACAAGAGGAAGGTTCTTTTTCAATCAGGGCACAGCTGTTGGCTTGCTCCAATTCTGTCTTGCTGTCATTGTTCTGCATGCCTCAGCTTACTTTTGGTTTCTTGAGCAGTAATTTCCTAAATATTTTCTGGGTCTGAGTTGGTTTTGCCTTCTTCCTTCCCAAATTTTGTATTCTGATGCAATACAAACAAGAGTTTGGACAGAGTAGCTATTATGAAATAAAACGTACAACAAATAGGCGTTTGAAGCTCAGAAATCTACAGGTAACACGACCAAGGTGAGTTTTTGTGTTTTGGAAAAGAAAATGGAACACTTTGGCTGAGGTGACAGATATTAATTGCCTCCAAACTGAGTTTCCCTGTGATTTTCAGGTTAATTCCATCAGAATTCCACAGGCATTCAGCTGCAGGGGTGGATGAATCCAGGAACAGCCGGTTTCCTTGCGACTAAATCAAGCCCAATATCATTATGGATTCTTGCATTTCTTTGGCTTTTTCTCATTTCTCTTATGTATCATGGTTTGTAATAAATTTTCTGATGTGAGCTCTGGTTTTAAGGCTGGCATATTGGGTTCAGGGAACAAGAGGATGGTTCTTTTCAATCAGGGCACAGCTGTTGGCCTCCTCCAATTCTGGCTTGCTGTCAATGTTTTGAGTGCTTCAGCAAATTTGTGGATTCTAGTGTGTCAATTTACTAGATGTTTTTTGGGTCTGTGTTGGTTTTGCCTTCTTCCTTCCCAAATTTTGTATTCTGATGCAATACAAACAAGAGTTTGGACAGAGTAGGTATTATGAAATAAAAAACACAACAAATAGCCGTTTGAAGCTTAGAAATCTACAGGTAACATGACCAAGGTGAGTTTTTGTGTTTTGGAAAATCAAATGGAACACTTTGGCTGAGGTGACAGATATTAATTGCCTCCAAACTGAGTTTCACTGTGATTTTCAGGTTAATTCAGTCAGAATACCACAGGCAGTCAGCTGCAGGGGTGGATGAATCCTGGAACAGCCTGTTTCCTTCGAGTGAATCAAGCCCAATATCATAATGGATTCTTGCATTTCTTTGACCTTTTTCTTATTTTACTTATTTATCATGGTTTGTAATGAATTTTCTGAGGTGAGCTTTGGTTTTGAAGCTGCAATATGGAGTTCAGGATCCGGGGGAATGGTCTTTTTCCTTTTTTTTTTTTCTTGACAGGCAGAGTGGACAGTGAGAGAGAGAGACAGGGAGAAATTTCTTCCTTTGCCGTTGGTTCACCCTCCAATGGCCGCCGCGGCCAGTGTGCTGCGGCGGGCGCACCGCGCTGATCCGATTGCAGGAACCAGGAGCCAGGTGCTTTTCCTGGTCTCCCATGGGGTGCAGTGCCCCAGCACTTGGGCCATCCTCCACTGCACTCCCTGGCCACAGCAGAGGGCTGGCCTGGAAGAGGGGCAACCGGGACAGAATCCGCACCCAGACCGGGACTAGAACCTGGTGTGCTGGGGCCGCTAGGTGGAGGATTAGCTTAATGAGCCACGGAGCCGGCTGGGAATGGTGTATTTCAAACAGGGCACAGCTCTTGGCCTGCTCCACTTCTGGCTTGCTGTCATTGTTTTGGGTGCCTCCGCCGATTTGAAGTTTCTTGAGCATCAATATCCTAAATGTTTTCTTGGTCTGAGTTGGTTTTCCTTCTTCCTTCCCAAATTTTGTATTCTGACACAATACAAACAAGAGTTTGGACAGAGTAGCCATTAGGAAATAAAAAACACAACAAATAGGCTTTTGAAGATACAGGTAACACGACCAAGGTGAGATTGTGTGTTTTGGAAAATCAAATGGAACAAGTTGGCTGTGGTGACAGATATTAACTGCCTCCGTTCAGGTTAATTCAGTCAGAATTCCACAGGCAGTCAGCTGGAGGGGTGGATGAATCCGGGAATAGCCGGTTTCATTGCAACTAAATGAAGCCCAATATCATTATGGATTCTTGCATTTCTTTGGCTTTATTCTGATATTTCTTATTTATCATGGTTTGTAATGAATTTTCTGATGTGAGCTTTGGTTTTGAGGCTGCAATATGGAGTTCAGGGCACCGGAGGAATGGTCTTTTTCAATCAGGGCACAGTAGCTGGCTTGCTCCAATTCTGGCTTGCTGTCATTGTTTTGGGTGCCTCCGCCGATTTGAGGTTTCTTGAGTGGCAATTTCCTAAACGTTTTCTGAGTCTCAGTTGTTTTTGTCCTCTTCCTTCCCAAATTTTGTATTCTGACGTAATACAAGCAAGATTTTGGACAGAATTGACATTATGAAATAAAAAACACATCAAATAGGCTTTTGAAAGCTACAGGTAACACGACCAAGGTGAGATTTTGTGTTTTGGAAAAAGATATGGAACAATTTTGCTGAGGTGACAGATATTAATTGCCTCCAAACCGAGTTTCACAGCGAATTTCATTTTAATTCAGTCAGAAACCACAGACACTCAGCTGGGAGGTATAGAAGAATCTGGAAACAGCCATTAACAAGGGAATAAATCAAGCCCAATATCACTAAGAACTCCTGCATTTCTTTGGATTTTTTCTGATTTTTCTTATTTATCATGGTTTGTAATGAATTTTCTGATCTGAGGTTTGGTTTTGAGGTTGCAATATCGAGTTCAGGACACCGGAGGAATGGTCTTTTTCAATCAGGGCACAGCTGTTGGCTTGCTCCAATTCTGTCTTGCTATCAAGGTTTTGGCTTCCTCAGCGGCCCTTTGTTTCTTGAGCGGCAATTTCCTAAATGTTTTCTGGGTCTGAGTTGGTTTTGCCTTCTTCCTTCCCAAATTTTGTATTCTGACGCAATACAAAGAAGAGTTTGGACAGAGTAGCCATTATGAAATAAAAAACACAACAAATAGGCGTTTGAAGCTTAGAAATCTACAGGTAACACAACCAAGGTGAGTTTTTGTGTTTTGGAAAATCAAATGGAACACTTTGGCTGAGGTGACAGATATTAATTGCCTCCAAATTGAGTTTCACTGCGATTTTCAGGTTAATTCAGTCAGAATTCCACAAGCTGTCAGCTGGAGGGGTGGATGAATCCGGGAACAGCCGGTTTCCTTGCGACTAAATCAAGCCCAATATCATTATGGATTCTTGCATTTCTTTGGCTTTTTTCTCATTTTTCTTATTTATCATGGTTTGTAATGAATTTTCTGATGTGATCTTTGGTTTTGAGGCTGCAATATGGAGTTCAGGGCACCGGAGGAATGGTCTTTTTCAAACAGGTCACAGCTGTTGGCCTGCTCCAATTCTGGCTTGCTGCCATTTATTTGGGTGCCTCAGCTGACTTTCGGTTTCTTGAGTGGCAATTTCCTAAATGTTTTCTGGGTCTGAGTTGGTTTTGCCTTCTTCCTTCCCAAATTTTCTTTTCTGATGGCATACAAACAAGACTTTGGACAGAGTAGACATTATGAAATAAAAAACACATCAAATAGGCTTTTGAAAGCTACAGGTAACACGACCAAGGTGAGATTTTGTGTTTTGTAAAAAGACATGGAACACTTTTGCTGAGGTGACAGATATTAATTGCCTCCAAACCGAGTTTCACAGCGAATTTCATTTTAATTCAGTCAGAAACCACAGACACTCAGCTGGGAGGTGTAGAAGAATCTGGAAACAGCCATTAACAAGGGAATAAATCAAGCCCAATATCACTAAGAACTCCTGCATTTCTTTGGATTTTTTCTGATTTTTCTTTTTTATCATGGTTTGTAATGAATTTTCTGATCTGAGGTTTGGTTTTGAGGTTGCAATATCGAGTTCAGGACACCGGAGGAATGGTCTTTTTCAATCAGGGCACAGCTGTTGGCTTGCTCCAATTCTGTCTTGCTTTCAAAGATTTGGGTTCCTCAGCGGCCCTTTGTTGCTTGAGCGGCAATTTCCTAAATGTTTTCTGGGTCTGAGTTGGTTTTGCTTTCTTCCTTCCCAATATTTGTATTCTGCCCAAATACAAACAGGAGTTTGGGCAGAGTAGCCATTATGAAACAAAAAACACAACAAATAGGCGTTTGAAGCTTAGAAATCTACAGGTAACACGACCGAGGTGAGTTTTTGTGTTTTAGAAAATAAAGTGGAACACTTTAGCTGAGGTGACAGTTATTAATTTCTTCCAAACTGAGTTTCACTGCGATTTTCAGGTTAATTCAGTCAGAATTCCACAGGCAGTCAGCTGCAGGGTTGGATGAATCCGGGAACAGCCGGTTTCCTTGCGAACAAATCCAGCCCAATATCATTCTGGATTATTGCATTTTTGGGTATTTTCTCATTTTTCTTATGTATGAAGGTTTGTAATGAATTTTCTGATGTGAGCTTTGGTTTTGAGGCTGCAATATGGAGATCAGGGCACCGGAGGAATGGTCTTTTTCAATCAGGGCACAGCTGCTGGCTTGCTCCAATTCTGGCTTGCTGTCATTGTTTTGGGTGCCTCCGCCGATTTGAGGTTTCTTGAGTGGCAATTTCCTAAACGTTTTCTGAGTCTCAGATGGTTTTGTCCTCTTACTTCCCAAATTTTGTATTGTGACGCAATACAAACAAGAGTTTGGACAGAATAGACATTATGAAATAAAAAACACGTCAAATAGGCTTTTGAAAGCTACAGGTAACACGACCAAGGTGAGATTTTGTGTTTTGTAAAAAGACATGGAACACTTTTGCTGAGGTGACAGATATTAATTGCCTCCAAACCGAGTTTCACAGCGAATTTCATTTTAATTCAGCAGAAACCACAGACACTCAGTTGGGAGGTATAGAAGAATCTGGAAACAGCCATTAACAAGGGAATAAATCAAGCCCAATATCACTAAGAACTCCTGCATTTCTTTGGATTTTTTCTGATTTTTCTTATTTATCATGGTTTGTAATGAATTTTCTGATCTGAGGTTTGGTTTTGAGGTTGCAATATCGAGTTCAGGACACCGGAGGAATGGTCTTTTTCAATCAGGGCACAGCTGTTGGCTTGCTCCAATTCTGTCTTGCTTTCAAAGTTTTGGGTTCCTCAGCGGCCCTTTGTTGCTTGAGCGGCAATTTCCTAAATGTTTTCTGGGTCTGAGTTGGTTTTGCCTTCTTCCTTCCCAAATTTTGTAATCTGACGCAATAGAAACAAAAGTTTGGGCAGAGTAGCCATTATGAAATAAAAAACACAACAAATAGGCGTTTGAAGCTTAGAAATCTACAGGTAACACGACCAAGGTGAGTTTTTGTGTTTTGGAAAATCAAATGGAACACTTTGGCTGAGGTGACAGATATTAATTGCCTCCAAACTGAGTTTCACTGCGATTTTCAGGTGAATTCAGTCAGAATTCCACAGGCAGTCAGCTGGAGGGGTGGATGAATCCGGGAACAGCCCGTTTCCTTGCGACTGAATCAAGCCCAATGTCATTATGGATTCTTGCATTTCTTTGGCTTTTTTCTCATTTTTCTTATTTATCATGGTTTGTAATGAATTTTCTGATGTCAGCTTTGGTTTTGAGTCTGCAATATGGAGTTCAGGGCACCAGAGGTATGGTCTTTTTCAAACAGGGCACAGCTGTTGTGCTGCTCCAATTCTGGCTTGCTGTCATTGTTATGAGTGCCTCAGCCGATTTGTGGTTTCTTGAGCGGCAATTTCCTAAAGGTTTTCTGGGTCTGAGTTGGTTTTGCCTTCTTCCTTCCCAAATTTGTATTCTGACGGAATACAAACAAGAGTTTCAGCAGAGTAGCCATTAGGAAATAAAAAACACAACAAAAAGGCGTTTGAAGCTTAGAAATCTACAGGTAACACGACCAAAGTGAAGTTTTGTGTTTTGGAAAATCAAATGGAACACTTTGGCTGAGGTGACAGATATTAATTGCCTCCAAACTGAGTTTCACTGCGATTTTCAGGTTAATTCAGTCATAATTCCACAGGCAGTCAGCTGGAGGGGTGGATGAATCCGGGAACAGCTGGTTTCCTTGCGACTAAATCAAGCCCAATATCATTAAGGATTCTTGCATTTCTTTGGCTTTTTTCTCCTTTTTCTTATTTATCATGGTTTGTAATAAATTTTCTGATGTGAGCTTTGGTTTTGAGGCGGCAATATGGCGTTCAGGGCACCGGAGGAATGGTCTTTTTCAAACAGGGTACAGATGTTGGCTTGCTCCAATTCTGGCTTGCTGTCATTGTTTTGGGTGCCTCAGCCGATTTGTGGTTTCTTGAGCCACAATGTCCTAAATGTTTTCAGGGTCTGAGTTGGTTTTGCCTTCTTCCTTCCCAAATTTTGTATTCTGATGGAATACAAACAAGAGTTTGGACAGAGCAGTCATTATGAAATAAAAAACACAACAAATAGGCGTTTGAAGCTTATAAGTCTACTCGAAACACGACCAAGGTGAGTATTTGTGTTTTGGAAAATAAAATGGAACACTTTGTTGAGGTCACAGATATTAATGGCCTCCAAACTGAGTTTGACTGCGATTTTCAGGTTAATTCAGTGAGAATTCCACAGGCAGTCAGCAGGAGGGGTGGATGAATCTGGGAGCAGCCGGTTTCCTTGCGACTAAATCCAGCCCAATATCAGAAAGGTCTCCTGTATTTCTTTGGCATTTTTCTCATTTTTTGATTTATCCTGCTTTGTAATGAATTTTCTGATGTGAGATTTGGTTTTGAGGCTGCAATATGGAGTTTAGGGCACAAGAGGAAGGTTTTTTTTTTTTTTAAACAGGGCACAGCTCTTGGCTTGCTCCAATTCTGGCTTGCTGTCCTTGTTTTGCATGCCTCAGCTCAATTTTGGTTTGTTGAGTGGCAATTTCCTAAATGTTTTCTGGGTCTGAGTTGGTTTTGCCTTCTTCCTTCCCAAATTTTGTATTCTGTCGCATTACAAACAAGAGTTTGGACAGAGCAGCCATTATGAAATAAAAAACACAACAAATAGGTGTTAGAAGCTTAGAAATCTACAGGTAACACGACCAAGGTGAGTTTTTGTGTTTTGGAAAATGAAATGGAACACTTTGGCTGAGGTGACAGATATTAATTGCCTCCAAACTGAGTTTCACTGCGATTTTCAGGTTAATTCAGTCAGAATTCCACAGGCAGTCAGCTGGAGGGGTGGATGAATCCGGGAACAGCTGGTTTCCTTGCGACTAAATCAAGCCGAATGTCATTATGGATCTTGCGTTTCTTTGGCTTTTTTCTCATTTTTCTTATTTATCATGGTTTGTAATGAATTTTGTGATGTCAGCTTTGGTTTTGAGGCTGTAATATGGCGTTCAGGGCACCAGAGGTATGGTCTTTTTCAAACAGGGCACAGCTGTTGTGCTGCTCCAATTCTGGCTTGCTGTCATTGTTTTGAGTGCCTCAGCCGATTTGTGGTTTCTTGAGCGGCAATTTCCTAAAGGTTTTCTGGGTCTGAGTTGGTTTTGCCTTCTTCCTTCCCAAATGTTGTATTCTGACGCAATACAAACAAGAGTTTGGGCGGAGTAGCCATTATGAAATAAAAAACACAACAAAAAGGCGTTTGAAGCTTAGAAAAATACAGGTAACACGACCAAGGTGAGTTTTTGTGTTTTGGAAAATAAAATGGAACACTTTGTTGAGGTCACAGATATTAATAGCCTCCAAACTGAGTTTCACTGCGATTTTCAGGTGAATTCAGTCAGAAGTCCACAGGCAGTCAGCTGGAGGTGTGGATGAATCCGGGAACAGCCGGTTTCCTTGCGACTAAATCAAGCCCAATATCATTCTTGATTCTTGCATTTCTTTGGCTTTTTTCTCCTTTTTCTTATTTATCATGGTTTGTAATGAATTTTCTGATGTGAGCTTTGGTTTTGAGGTTGCAATATTGAGTTCAGGGCACCTGAGGAATGGTCTTTTTCAAACAGGGTACAGATGTTGGCTTGCTCCAATTCTGGCTTGCTGTCATTGTTTTGGGAGCCTCAGCTGACTTTTGGTTTCTTGAGCCACAATGTCCTAAATGTTTTCAGGGTCTGAGTTGGTTTTGCCTTCTTCCTTCCCAAATTTTGTATTCTGATGGAATACAAACAAGAGTTTGGACAGAGCAGTCATTATGAAATAAAAAACACAACAAATAGGCGTTTGAAGCTTATAAGTCTACTCGAAACACGACCAAGGTGAGTATTTGTGTTTTGGAAAATAAAATGGAAGACTTTGTTGAGGTCACAGATATTAATGGCCTCCAAACTGAGTTTGACTGCGATTTTCAGGTTAATTCAGTGAGAATTCCACAGGCAGTCAGCAGGATGGGTGGATGAATCTGGGAGCAGCCGGTTTCCTTGCGACTAAATCCAGCCCAATATCAGAAAGGTCTCCTGTATTTCTATGGCATTTTTCTCATTTTTTGATTTATCCTGCTTTGTAATGAATTTTCTGATGTGAGATTTGGTTTTGAGGCTGCAATATGGAGTTTAGGGCACAAGAGGAAGGTTTTTTTTTTTTAAACAGGGCACAGCTCTTGGCTTGCTCCAATTCTGGCTTGCTGTCCTTGTTTTGCATGCCTCAGCTCAATTTTGGTTTGTTGAGTGGCAATTTCCTAAATGTTTTCTGGGTCTGAGTTGGTTTTGCCTTCTTCCTTCCCAAATTTTGTATTCTGTCGCATTACAAACAAGAGTTTGGACAGAGCAGCCATTATGAAATAAAAAACACAACAAATAGGTGTTAGAAGCTTAGAAATCTACAGGTAACACGACCAAGGTGAGTTTTTGTGTTTTGGAAAATGAAATGGAACACTTTGGCTGAGGTTACAGATATTAATTGCCTCCAAACTGAGTTTCACTGCGATTTTCAGGTTAATTCAGTCAGAATTCCACAGGCAGTCAGCTGGAGGGGTGGATGAATCCGGGAACAGCCCATTTCCTTGCGACTGAATCAAGCCCAATGTCATTATGGATTCTTGCGTTTCTTTGGCTTTTTTCTCATTTTTCTTATTTATCATGGTTTGTAATGAATTTTGTGATGTCAGCTTTGGTTTTGAGGCTGTAATATGGCGTTCAGGGCACCAGAGGTATGGTCTTTTTCAAACAGGGCACAGCTGTTGTGCTGCTCCAATTCTCGCTTGCTGTCATTGTTTTGGGTGCCTCAGCTGATTTGTGGTTTCTTGAGCGGCAATTTCCTAAAGGTTTTCTGGGTCTGAGTTGGTTTTGCCTTCTTCCTTCCCAAATGTTGTATTCTGACGCAATACAAACAAGAGTTTGGGCGGAGTAGCTATTATGAAATAAAAAACACAACAAAAAGGCGTTTGAAGCTTAGAAAAATACAGGTAACACGACCAAGGTGAGTTTTTGTGTTTTGGAAAATAAAATGGAACACTTTGTTGAGGTCACAGATATTAATAGCCTCCAAACTGAGTTTCACTGCGATTTTCAGGTGAATTCAGTCAGAAGTCCACAGGCAGTCAGCTGGAGGTGTGGATGAATCCGGGAACAGCCGGTTTCCTTGCGACTAAATCAAGCCCAATATCATTCTTGATTCTTGCATTTCTTTGGCTTTTTTCTCCTTTTTATAATTTATCATGGTTTGTAATGAATTTTCTGATGTGAGCTTTGGTTTTGAGGTTGCAATATTGAGTTCAGGGCACCTGAGGAATGGTCTTTTTCAAACAGGGTACAGATGTTGGCTTGCTCCAATTCTGGCTTGCTGTCATTGTTTTGGGAGCCTCAGCTGACTTTTGGTATCTTGAGCGGCAATGTCCTAAATGTTTTCTGGGTCTGAGTTGGTTTTGCCTTCTTCCTTCCCAAATATTGTATTCTGATGGAATACAAACAAGAGTTTGGACAGAGTAGTCATGATGAAATAAAAAACACAACAAATAGGCGTTTGAAGCTTATAAGTCTACTCGTAACGAGACCAAGGTGAGTTTTTGATTTTGGAAAATAAAATGGAACACTTTGGCTGAGGTGACAGATATTAATTGCCTCCAAACTGAGGTTCACTGCGATTTTCAGGTTAATTCAGTCATAATTCCACAGGCAGTCAGCTGGAGGGGTGGATGAATCTGGGAACAGCCAATTTCCTTGCGACTAAATCAAGCCCAATATCATTATGGATTCTAGCATTTCTTTGGCTTTTTTCTCATTTTTCTTATTTATCATGGTTTGTAATGAATTTTCTGATGTGAGCTTTGGTTTTGAGGCTGCAATATGGAGTTCAGGGCACAAGAGGAAGGTTATTTTTCAAAAAGGGCACAGCTGTTGACTTGCTCCAAGTCTGCCTTGCTGTCATTGTTTTGGGTGCCTCAGCTGACTTTTGGTTTCTTGAGCGGCAATTTCCTAAATGTTTTCTGGGTCTGAGAGGTTTTTACCTTCTTCCTTCCCAAATTTTGTATTGTGACGCAATACAAACATGAGTTCAGACAGAATAGCGATTATGAAATAAAAAACACAACAAATAGGCGTTTGAAGCTTAGAAATCTATAGGTTCATGACCAAGGTGAGTTTTTGTGTTTTGAAAAATAAAATGGAACACTTTGGCTGAGGTGACAGATATTAATTGCCTCCAAACTGAGGTTCACTGCGATTTTCCTGTTAATTCAGTCATAATTCCACAGGCATCAGCTGGAGGGGTGCATGAATCTGGGAACAGCCAATTTCCTTGCGACTCAATCAAGCCCAATATCATTATGGATTCTTGCATTTCTTTGGCTTTTGTCTCATTTTTCTTATTTATCATGGTTTGTAATGAATTTCCTGATGTGAGCTTTGGTTTTGAGGCTGCAATATGGAGTTCAGGGCACCGGAGGAAGGTTATTTTTCAAAAAGTGCACAGCTGTTGACTTGCTCCTATTCTGCCTTGCTGTCATTGTTTTGGGTGCCTCAGCCGATTATTGGTCTTTTGAGCGACAATTTACTACATGTTTTCAGGGTCTGAGTTGGTTTTGCCTTCTTCCTTCCCAAATGTTGTATTCTGACGCCATACAAACAAGAGTTTCGGCAGAGTAGCCATTATGCAATAAAATCACAACAAATAGGTTTTGAAGCTTATAAATCCATAGGTAACACGAGCAAGGTGAGTTTTTGTGTTTTGGAAAATAAAATGGAACACTTTGGCTGAGGTGACAGATATTAATTGCCTCCAAACTGAGTTTCACTGCGATTTTCAGGTGAATTCAGGCAGATCCACAGGCAGTCAGCTGGAGGTGTGGATGAATCCGGGAACAGCCGGTTTCCTTGCGACTAAATCAAGCCCAATATCATTCTTGATTCTTGCATTTCTTTGGCTTTTTTCTCCTATTTCTGATATAGCATGCTTTGTAATAAATTTTCTGATGTGAGCTTTGGTTTTGAGGCTGCAATATGGAGTTCAGGGCACCTGAGGAATGGTCTTTTTCAAACAGGGCACAGCTGTTGGCCTGCACCAATTCTGGCTTGCTGTCATTGTTTTGAGTGCCTCAGCCGATTTGTGGTTTCTTGAGCGGCAATTTCCTAAATGTTTTCTGGGTCTGAGTTGGTTTTGCCTTCTTCCTTCCCAAATTTTGTATTCTGACGCCATGCAAACAAGAGTTTCGGCAGAGTAGCCATTATGAAATAGAAAAACACCACAAATAGGCTTTTGAAGCTTAGAAATCTACAGGTAACACAACAAAGGTGAGTTTTTGTGTTTTGGAAAATCAAATGGAACACTTTGGCTGAGGTGACAGATAGTAATTGCCTCCAAACTGAGTTTCCCTGGGATTTTCAGGTTAATTCAGTCAGAATTCCACAGGCAGTCAGCAGGAGGGGTGGATGAATCCGGGAACAGCCCATTTCCTTGCGACTAAATGAAGCCCAATATCATTATGGATTCTTGATTTCTTTGGCTTTTTTCTCATTTTTCTTATTTATCATGGTTTGTAATGAATTTTCTGATGTGAGCTTTGGTTTTGAGGCTGTAATATGGAGTTCAGGGCACCGGGGGAACGGTCTTTTTCAAACAGAGCACAGCTGTTGGCCTGCTCCAATTCTGGCTTGCTGTCATTGTTTTGGGTGCCTCCGCCAATTTGAGGTTTTTTGAGCAGCAATTTCTTAAAAGTTTTCTGGGTCTGAGTTGGTTTTGCCTTCTTCCTTCCCAAATATTGTATTCTGATGCAATACAAACAAGAGTTTGGGCAGAGTGGCCATTATGAAATAAAAAACACAACAAATAGGTTTTGAAGCTTAGAAATCCAGAGGTAACATGACCAAGGTGAGTTTTTGTGTTTTGGAAAATCAAATGGAACAGTTTGGCTGAGGTGACATATATTAATTGCCTCCAAACTGAGTTTCACTGCGATTTTCCGGTTAATTCAGTCAGAATTCCACAGGCAGTCAGCTGGAGGGGTGGATGAATCTGGGAACAGCCGGTTTCCTTGAAACTAAATCCAGCCCAACATCATTATGGATTCTTGCATTTCTTTGGCTTTTGTCTCATTTTTCTGATTTATCATGGTATGTAATGAATTTTCTGATGTGAGCTTCGGTTTTGAGGCTGGCATATGGAGTTCAGGGCACAAGAGGAAGGTTCTTATTCAATCAGGGCACAGCTGCTGGGTTACTCCAATTCTGGCTTACTGTCATTGTTTTGGTTGCCTCCGCCGATTTGAGGTTTCTTGAGCATCAATTTCCTAAATGTTTTGTTCGTCTGAGTTGGTTTTCCTTCTTCCTTCCAAAATTTTGTATTCTGACCCAATACAAAAAAGAGTTTGGACAGACTTGCCATTTTGCCATAAAAAAAAACACAATAAATAGGCGTTTGAAGCTTAGAAATCCACAGGTAATACGACCAAGGTGAGTTTTTGTGTTTTGGAAAATAAAATGGGACACTTTGGCTGAGGTGACAGATATTAATTGCCTCCAAACTGAGTTTCCCTGCGATTTTCCGGATAATTCCGTCAGAATTCCACAGGCAGTCAGCTGGAGGGGTGGATGAATCTGGGAATAGCCGGTTTCCTTTTGACTAAATCAAGCCCAATATCATTATGGATTCTTGCATTTCTTTGGCTTTTTTCTCATTTTTCTTATGTATCATGGTTTGTAATGAGTTTTCTGATGTGAGCTTTGGTTTTAAGCTGGCATATTCAGTTCAGGGCACCAGAGGAAGGTTGTTTTTCAATCAGGGCACAGCTGTTGGCCTGCTCCAATTCTGGCTTGCTGTCATTGTTTTGGGTGCCTCAGCTGATTTGTGGA